TATACATATAGCCCCTATCTATACCATTAGCATATACATACATACATCTATAATCCATTTCTTATCTAGACATTATACCAATATGTTGATCTATCTAGATAGATTCTGTTCAATTTAGACTCTATTTTTGCATATTTAATGCATAAACAATTTTATACATACATATATATTATTATTATCTATAGCTGACTATGCAAAGTTGTTGCTTTATAGCTATCATTTTTGCATATTTATTAGCTTTTGTTATCTCGTACACCTTTCTCCCATATCTAATCTACTTCTACCTAAGATTCCCAGAGATCCAAAATACAGCAATATTTCGTCTTATCTCTCTTCTATCATTTCTTCTTCATTTTTGCTTCTACCAAGACTCTGAATACATTTCTAGGTATATCCATTATCTGGTAAGGTAATTTACACTCGAAACGAAACTTTTGAGAACTTTTCTGACAATTTTCACTTCGTGCTGGATCCCACCTCAGAGTTATTTTTAGCCATAGCTTGACCTACACTGATCTATGTAGTCTATATACAGTGTAATTAATATTTCTATTCAAATTTTCAGTTGAGCCAAAGGAAAGAGACAGCGAGCGAGTGAGAACGAGATAGATGCAGACATATACGTATATTTATGCCTGCCTGCCCCATCTATGTCTCCGGAATTGACTGTGCCAACCACATTTACTGCAGTCTCAATTTGTACTCAGAAACAATTGATAGAATGGAATCGCTTGCCCCGGGCCAACTATTTCCCCTACGTACGCCCCATCCATCAACCTATGCCCAGCTATTCGAGAAACAAAACAAAACCGCAGTAGGGAAAAAAAAAGCTCTTTCAATTTCAGTAATTTATGGAAAGTTACGTCAATTTAATCGCTGATTACAGATTCCTCTTTGATTTGCTTCCAGAATGTGGAGCATGGAGCATGCAGAGCAATAAACTTTATGAATAGACTAAAAAAAGACAAACAAAAACAGTTGGAAACAGTTAGTTCTTTTAGCTGCGGGTTCCATGCGCCTCTTCTGCTCTAGCCGCCTCTGGCTCTTCTAGTTGTGCGTTTAATTTAGCAGACCATCCGCTTATGCTAATTATGTTTGCCAAACCAGAACAGAGCCCCAAACAGAAGAGACCAGCAAAGAATGCGAATAGAGGTTTAGATGTTGATAGATACCCTGCACGTATACATATTTGAGTAGCTAAGATCTTAATTGGCTACCTACTGCCCAGGTATAGAAGTTAGTGAATGGATTCACTATATCATACAACTATCCCATTGAACTCAGCTGGCAACGAAACAATCTTTGCTTGTAGTAGATGTAGTAAACATCTGTAATTTTCAGGCCTAAGATTAGCTATATCATCAAACTACCTATGTGAACTCAGCTCTTAGAGCAGCTGACTCAATGAGATTCGCTGCATACATCATATATTCAATGTATAAGTTAAATAACTTCAAACCGGCTCATAGGTTATGCTCTAACATGATAAAAATCAGATCAGATCGACTGAATTGGGCACTTCAGAGCGAAAGGGAATGAATTTCTGTCCGTCTCACTGAATATTAATGAGCCACTATTAGCGTAACATTTGAGACAGTAATTCTCACAAGTTTATTAACTGACTCAGCATTCGCTGTATCTGTATCTATACTCGTAGATCTGAACATCTGTAGATCGTTCTTTATGTTTTATCTTCAACTTGATCTGCATCTCAATTCCCATGTTTTGCTGCTGCCGATTCACCTAATTTGCTAACTCAGCGCTAAAGGGAAGAAACAAAAGCGAATCCCACAAATTGTAAAGCGCCAGACATGGTTTCAGTTTCAGTGCATATATCCACAAGCATACATACATGTGTATACATCTATACATGTAGATGTGTACATGTTTTTGAAGCATTTTTTGGACTGTTGACAACGAGCCCATAAACAAGCTCGTAAAAATTCCACCAAGTGCAGAAAACAAGAACATCAAATTTAACTAGGGACTGTTGCATACCAAATGCCCTTACATCTAGAGTCTAGATCAAAGATATCATTGATAAAACATTCAACTTGATATCCAATGAAATAGCTCTGCCAAGTCTCATCAAATTTGATATGCTGGAATCTGAGTTCGCAGAGGTATGCGCTAGTCATATGATATAGTAGGGTTAGCCTCCCAGTTTTTACTTACATATGTTATCTGTAAGGCAAGGAGACAAGTTTGTATCATATCTATTAAAGTTTGGTCTATTGAGAGCTGAGTTCACTGAGGTTGTTATATGATATTATACTATATAAAACAGCTGAGTTCGCATAGGTGATTTAAATGAGACACTCTCATCGTTTTGATCATGATTTGTTTCTCTTTGGTTCTCACCAAGGCTCACAATATTCCCATAAGTCACTCTATTTATATGGCGATGCGTGCAAAGTGCTGCTCCAAACTAATATACCCTTTCCAGCGCACAGACGCACACTTGAGGAGCACTTTACACAAATCAAGCAGCAGCTCCACTTATCCAACTTTAACCCAGCTCCTTGGAGCGTAACGTGGCGCACGCGCTCGATCACCCCTCCCTCTTCCACTCCCTCTCGCTCTCTCTCTCTCTCTCTCTGATCTCCTATCTCTCTCACACACTCGTGTCCCTCTTTTGGATGCTATTCAGGAATTTGCGCAGGCGAACGGCAGCTGTAGCCCAAAAAAGGGCAGCGACTTCATCTTCCTCCGCTGCTTATCGAGTAGGCAGAGGCGTTTGGCCGGGTAGGCGTGTGGGCGTGGCAACGGGTTCTCGTTCACCAAGTTAGCCGAATCAGATGCGACGGCGGCGGCGGCGACTGGGACTGTGGCCTGCGCTCGGTTCCCACCAGATGAGCGCCTGCCAAGGCTAATGTACGAGTGCCTGGGCAAATATTGACTAAGGGATACCCTGTAAATTGCAATTGACTTCGTTTAGACAGGCGTGGCATCCCATTTATCTTTTCCTATTCTATCGTTAGTATACTAAGAACCACCTAGAACAACGCCACAGTAGATTTGTCTGCATACCCTGTGAATTATATAAGTTATCCGCTCTGATCTATTGTAAATCCCATAGAGAGGCTATAAAGCTCCAATGCACCTACGCGCTTCTCAGTCACTTATTCTTATACCTTTGCATATTGCGTGCTATGGAAGCATCTCCGAGAGCCCTTATACCATCAAAAGCCCCCCAACGACCTCTTTCTCTCTCTCTCACTCTCGTTCTTTCTCATTTCTTTTCCAAGCGTTTCAATGTCAAGTTCGTGTTTGTGGTCGCTTCAGCTTCATCTCAGTGTGAGCTCATTCGAGGCATTTTGTCGGAGGGTACTGCCACGCCCCAAGAATGACGCCATCGGTGGGCGTTACTCTTCCCCTTTCTTTGGGATAATTGTTTTTGTTGTCGCCAAAAAGTTAATGCGAGATGTTTATCTCGCTGTCAAGGACAAATGCACACACACACGCACGCACACACACACACACACACACACACACACACACACACACACACACACACACACACAGACACAGAGGCAATTGAGTGTGAGAATGTGTGAGAGTCACATTTATGACTCAACCAAACTCATTTAAAAGCAAAGGAAGATTCGCTGCCGGGTATAATCGACTGCTAAGCACACTACTCAGAAATTTTCTGGGTATCGCTCTCATTGTGATTCACAGTTAAGTGAGAACTGATAAACTGTGACTACAGAATTCGCAATAAAAGAGGGAGACAGAGAGAGAGAGAGAGCGAGAGAGAGAGAGAGATAATTAATCATTCGGCCAATTGATAAAGTGATTCAACTTAACCCAATTTACGTGAAAGCTTGACGCCAAAAATTTAGCCTCTGGGACATTTTTTAACTAGAGCAACTTTTGAGGTGAGTTCAAATTGGAAGTGAAGGATAGTTGGTTATACGATATATGGTATACATTATGCATCAGCAATCTAAATATATCAATAGATAATGATTGGAATATTACTTAGTAGTTAGTTTTATCACATAAATAGTAAATAATTTCTGGCTTGTAATCAAATTTCTAACTGGAATCAAATTTGTTGCTCTGCCAATCAGAATTCCTTGAGGTATTTCCCTCTCTTTCTCTCTTAAAACATTTGAATTGCAGCGGCCAACTGCGAATTTCAGCAAAAGGCTTGCAAAAAAAAAAAAAAAAAAACAAGTCGACATTTTCAAACGGGCTTCAGCAACTGCTTAATACTCGCTTAAATTTATTCAAGCTCCAACCGTTTACAGTTTGTCACATGTGATCTAACGGTAAGCCTTGACAATGATTACTATATTTAGCATTAATGCCCAATTAACGCTTCACACTTTAGTGGACGAGGGCCAAACAAATTATCAAAAATCATGGTGAGAGACAAATCTGGCACAATGCCAATATGCCCTATATTTGACTACTCCAAGGAGTAGGCATGTTTTGTTTATCATAAGCAGAGCGCTGTTTACGCTCTTTACGCTCTCTTTTCGTTAAGTTAGCACCGTTAGAGGCAGCGCAGTCGGCGTTGCCGTTTTGCAGCGCACGCTTTGCTCGTTTTATTTGGTGGTTGCAGAAAAAAAAAATCATTTAGTTAAATTAACATGCTTTAAACTAATTAAAAGCACGCAATGCAAATAAAATATAAATAAAGCTTATCTCAGCTGCTAGCAACAATAACAACGGTTTTTATAGTTTTATTCACTATTTGAAGTCAGGCGACGCCTACGACTTCCAAGGGCTGCGACAGAGGCAGCGGCAGCGCTGCCCACAGGAGCAGCCACCGGCTGCTGCACAGACACAAACAAACAAATTCACTCACATATACACCAAACTGTTCTTATTGATTTTTCACACACACACACAAAAAGGGAGCTAGCGAAACGCGAATTGGCACAAAGGGCATTAGATAAATGTGCATAGAAGCCACACCAACAACAATAATAGTAACAACCGTTATTGCGATTGCTCAAAATGAAAAACAACAACAACAAAACACTTACTGCACTTCCTGCCTCTCCCGCTTGCGCTTACAAGAGCTCTCTCGCTCCCTCTCTTGTTCGCTCCGCTTTGGTCGTGACTCCTGCTCCTTTTTACAGCTGCACACGATTTTTTTTTATTTTAGTACACACCCTTTTTGCACACACACCAAATTTAACATGAACAAAATTGTAAAAAAAAATTGAAACACTGGTTTTTGCATACACTTGTAATTAGCATTTATTTCATTTAGATTTATTTAGAATGATTTTCATTTAGAACGCGCGCAAATTAATTCGAAACAAAATATTCGCAACGCGCTCGCCGGGATGCTCAACACACGACCGCATTCAACGAGTTGCTAATTCGTAATAACAGTGGACATAACAGCTGTTCCAGCGGTTTTGTTCTTTAAGTTAGCAGCCCGCCAAATGTTGCTCGCGCAGCAATAATACCAATGTTAACTTAACAGCTGTGTGGAGACACCTAAAATCCAAATTTGTTGGCAGCCTTTTTAAAATGTTCAAATTTGCTACACGCAAATGTTGCTAAGCGCACAAATGCCAATGTTCACTTTACGTTGTTCGCTCCACACTAAACGTTACTTATGTTAAAAATAATCAAATTGGCTGCCAATCATAATATCGAAAATTTCATTTGAAATTTAGTTTGTCTGATATATATATAATACAATTGTAATCCAATTGCACTCAACACGCTAATATGCATTATTTAATATCACTTTATATATAAATAACGATATATGTTAGTCAACTTTAGCTTTTATTAGGCATCTACAAAATCTTCATTTCGGCTCAAAATATTCAAGTGTATTTACTACCAACAAAATACTTGTAATGAAATTTAAAAAATAAACCGCGAACGAGTGACGTAAGGATTACATTATCCGAACAACAGCATAACGTACAGACGTAAACGCAAGCTGAGGCATGTAAACGCAAAACTAGCATTTACGAACGCACAATTGCGCAGCGCAAGCGGTAGAATTACAATACAATTTATCGATATAGCAACCCTTCAAAAACACATATAAGATACATTTTTTTGTCAGCAGCAGATTTTTTTGTGTGGTAAATAATTTTCATAGATTTATTGTGCATACGTATATCAAAATGTCAACAAAACTCTAATACGTTGGCGTACAAGCGTACGCATTAAGTAAACAATATGAATACATGAAACAACAATTAACAGAACTTGGGTAAAAGCGAGAAAATTTTGTGTACCATACAAAAAAAGAAAGAAGTGGCGACGTTTTTGCTGCTGCGTATGGAAGGAAGAAGAAGAGCAATAACGCATTGAAAAATATACGGAGAAGCGAATACCGAGTGCGCTTTGTTATACACGCCATAAATACACATATTTATAGCAAGTGCATATTTTGTTTTGTTTAATTCTAGTTGCAGCTGACGGGGCAAGCAAATGCAAAAACTAAAAAACTAAACGCAAAATAACTGTAAAACAATTTCGTGTCGTGACGTGCTGTGTAAGTTAAACAATTGATTTATTGGTCAAATAGAAAAAAACAGCAGCAGGCATATAACAATTTTACAAATGCTGTTATATGGACGGAGCTGTTATACACAACAAAAACACTGTAGCACAGAATTAAAGCGGCTCTGATTTTCAAGAATTATATTGCATGAGTGTGTGTGTGTGTGTGTGTGTGTGTGTGTGTATCGAACAGGTTTTTATTCGCTTTTATTTGGTGTGTTGTTGTTTTTATTTTTGCGCAGCCTTTGATGCGCTTTGTCCGCATGCACATATCTATCTCAGTAGCTGTAACTGTGAGTGAGTGTATATGTGTACATTGCAGCCCTGAAGGTCAGCGCTGCTTTCTCCTGTTGTCTTTCGGCTGCTGTGCAAACTAATTACGGTTCCCTTTCCTTGTCTCTTTTTAGCCAGCCACTTGAGAGAGCAAAAAAGTAATTATCATTTTGCGCAAATGTGAATGCACTTACACACACACACACTTGAGCTAGCTAGCATGCTGTGTTTTAGTTGTGTTCAGTGCGCAGGTAACTTTGCGTTTGCCTACCCCCTGCCACAGGCGTGTGTCAGCTGCCCGCTGTCCATTGTTCCTTTTTTGTTCGTTCAACCACCCACACGCATTCTGCACGCAGAGTTGCATGCGATAGTTTGCATACATACATAGGTGGAATTTTATGCTAAAATGACATTTGCTATTCTACTAAGCATAAACAAAATTCAGGATATTTGCATGAAGCAAAGCCTCTCTACCGGTATGACACTTGTCGTTATGGTCAATATTAAACCATCCATAGATGCTTGGTAATGAATGAAGAATATGCCTGACCGGCTCTATTTATTTAACAAATTCTTAAATACAAAAACAAAATTCGAGCATAAATTAGAAATGTTTATTGTGGAACATGTTAAGACTAATTTGGCTACCAGTGCTCATCCATGATCTTCCAACGGGCTGCACGCTCAGCTATAACGTATCGATAGCACTTGCACCATAGACAGAAATATTTTACAATTTTCATTATAGATCCTTAACAATTTGTTATCGCCACGCCCTGCCCACAACAGGCTGCAGCAGCCGACGCCCATGCGCCCCAACTTTACCTCCCCTTTCCACCTTCCTATTTCCATCTCCAACTTCGAATGCCGCAGTTTGCTTAGCGTCCCAGCTCCCCCTCCCAGAGTTCCTTAGGTGCCCGTGCTCTATTTTAACAGCATACTTGGCACAGTCTGCAACGAAGGCAAACGAAGAAGCCACACACTAACACAGGCACACGCACATGCACACGCACAGTCAGACAGACAGTCGGATTAACATTGTTCGTGGAGATAAACAGCAAGCGAAACCGAAACAGAAACAAGTTAACGAAAGAACCATTGAGAGAGCAAACGAGGCGGGCGATAGAGAGCGCTGCCAGCCAGTTGTTAGCGCGTTGCCATTGCGTGCGGACGTGTGTGCGCGCATAGAGTAGGGTAAAGGAGAGAATAATACAAGAGGAAGAGCAAAAGAGCAGCGAAAATTTATTTAAACTAAATGCAACGTAAATGAAAGCTTTTGATTAGGTTTTTTTTTTGCGCGTGTGTTTGTTGTTTTCTTCTTTTTTTTGCTGTTATATTTTCCTGTTGCAACATGTGGAAAAGTGTTTAAACGTGTTTGTTTATTGTTCTTCATATTGCAGTGCGTAAACTGTTGTTGTTGTAGTTGTTAGACACAGCGTGAGAGAGAGAGAGGGAGAGAGAGCCGCGTGTGAGAGAGAAAGACAGCATACGAAGATGGAGGATCGCATGATGGCCCACACCGGGGGCATGATGGCACCGCAAGGCTACGGCCTGCCCGGCCAAGACGATGGCCAAAATGCGGGCAACGAGAACGAGGTGCGCAAGCAGAAGGACATCGGCGAAATCCTACAACAGATCATGAGCATCTCGGAGCAGTCGCTGGACGAGGCGCAGGCCAGGAAGCACACACTCAACTGTCATCGCATGAAGCCGGCTTTGTTCTCCGTTCTATGCGAGATCAAGGAGAAGACAGGTGAGTTCCATGGCCGACATACCCTAGGGTAGACGACAAAAATGTGTACCAAAATGAAAAATGATATACTCCTCTAATAGGGTATACTAGTATATCTGTAAATCCTTAAATGCATACAATATATATTTAGGATTTAAAAACAAATATTGATAGATCAGATCTTACCATAGAGAATAGAAGATGGTTTCCGATGTGTTTCTCTTTTTGTATACATGTAAAGTTTTGCATAAAGTATAGGAATATTATTAGATATACCAATATTATGTATATTGGTTGATTTAATATTATGGATGTTTATGGGCATTACTTCTGAATAGTAGTAGCTGTTGTAGAACTTATATATATATATAGAAAAATATTACATTTATTGCAATTTGGCCATACTCTGGGACACTCTAAAGCCCTTCTCAAAAGTTGTTATTGACATAAAAGGGATACAGTAAGAGCCTTTCTCTGCGCTTTTTATTTATCAATTGCATTAAGTATATCCATATAGAACGTCTTTCATATGGGTATATATACTTCATATAGCGCTCTTCTACGCGCTTCTCATTAATTTGCTGATTTCTCGCTTGAAGCAATAAAACGAGAACTAAAATTCAATATGCGTATTTCCCATCCCAATTCCCATTCCCATTCTTATTTTTTGCTCTGCATTATTATACTTGCACGCACCTTGTACAAGAAATTTTCAAATCGAGTTTTCCCGTCGTTTCATTTCTTGTTTTTCTTTACTTTACTTTACTTTACTTTTTTTGCCCTTGTTGTTGTTGTTGTTGTTATTGTTGTTGTTTGTCCTTCATATTACGCCCACGCAGCGACACGAAATGGGCAATAAGAGCGCGTTTTGATTGTGAGCCCAGATGTTTTGAATGGCTCCAATGTAGCCCCATTGCCAGCAGCCTAACCCTAAACCCCCAACCCCTAGCCCATGCCAACCCTCACAGATATATATATATATGTATATACGTATCTCTGGGCTTTTACCCAACCCTCAGAAAACTGCGCACCGTTGCGAAATTGCCTTTTGGGCAAGCTTCTTGGGGTTTGGCTAACACCACTTTGACGGGGAGGGCTTTGCGGCAGACAGAGAGAGGGCGAGAGAGTGAGAGAGAGAGAGAGAGACTGACTGACTCGAATGAAAAAATCCCCTTGAATTACACATTCTTGTGTCCTTCAGCTCGGAAAACTCTCGATTTTTTTTTTTTTTTTGTTATTTTTGATATTGAAGTTTTGATTATATTTGTGGCGGGACGAAAAAAGTAATTATGGGCTTGTTGAATGGACTTTTCATTTTCTTCTTTTTATAGATCAATTTTGTTGGTTTTGTGGGAAATATTAATGATTATTTAAGGAGCTTGAAGGGAAGTTGAGATGAAGTTGGAAGGGGAGAAAGTGGAAGTTCAAGAGGAAGATTTTTGAGAGACATAGCTAGAAAGAGAGAGAGAGGGAGAGAGAGACAGAGGCAAGGTGAATTGAAACCGTACATCACCTAATATACCCCACTACAGGGTATATATGATTGTATATCTTGAAGCACTTATTGCATGAGAAATTGGAGAAAAGGGTTTCGTTGGTCATTGTGGCTCTGGTCACACCTTTGCCTTCATCGTTACGATCAGGTGACTAATATAATCAAAAATATGTGGGAGGGCGAGAGGGTAGAGGAGAGGGCCCTTGGAAGGGTGCCTAGCCTAGAGACTGGGGCTCTAGACTGCAGCCAATTGCCAAAGTAAAGTCGACACACAAGGCAAAAATGAAATCAGCTTAAGCAGTTTATATATTATATGTATGTATATATGTATATTTACAGTAATTTCTGTGTTTTTATCTAGCTGTGTGCGCGATAACACTTCCCAGGGCTCAGTGCGTATCGATGGCGGGCGCCGACAAAGTAAACAAGAATACAAGTTGCCAAGAAGACGAAAACACTTGACCCAAGTCCCAGCAGAGGGGCATTATAAGAGGAAGAGAGAGAGAGAGAGAGAGGGAGAGAGTGGGAATGATGGTGTGTTGGAAGAAGTGTCGAGGGTTTAAGTAGGGTATAGCTGCGCGTTGTTGGATGGAAACAAGTATTCTCCGAGCAACGTAGAGAATGTGGAACAATGAAGAAGCGTTAGAAAACAATGAAAAACTTGGCAAGCTCATATAACTGTACTGCGACTCTCTGTATATGTGAACTATATTGTATGACAAGTCTATACATTCCATTTAAATTTAATTAAAAATCAAATTCTTAGCTCAGAGATGAGTTCACATAGTTATTTAGATGATATGGTAAACCAATTTGAATAGTTCTGGGTGCAATGAGCTCTGCCTGAAAATGAAACATGTGTAAAAGGTTTCATAAAGATCGCATTGCTGGCAGCTGAGTTCCGTGGGATAGTTGTGTGATATGCGGTGCCTATTCAGTCGTTACTAACTTCTAAAGTCTGCAGCAAATCTCATAGAACTCACTGCAATCAGAGCTGAGTTCACTAGGCAGTTAGATCAATCTGAAAGACCTATGGCTCACATATATACATATATATGGCTGTATGTGTGATGGTGCGCATGTGAGTTGAACGAATCGAAATACCCGCTTGCTAGAGGGCATTCGAAGTAAGTAGATAGAAAACACTTCAGTGTTTGGCTTTGATTGTGGCGCGCTCTGTCGCCCTGTTGTGCCTTGTTTAACATATATTATCAGCACGTGTGTGTGTGTGTGTATGGGTGTGTATGGGTGTGTGTGTGTGCTGCTTAAAATTAGTTTTTGAAAAGCGCAAAAACCTGTTCGACAGCCATGCAAAAATACCACGCACACGTTTTCAGCAACTTGAATCGGGTTTATATATATACACATATATACACATATATATAAATAAATACATATATATATACACATTTGTATATATACTTGCATTTGAGAAGTACAACAGGCCCCGCGACATGTTTGTTTATACGAAACAGTCAGCCGTTGGCACCGACTCCTGCTCCTACTCCAACTCCTGCTACGGCTGCCTCAGCTTCGTCCTGCTTCGTTTTCGTCCTTTTTGCGTTTTTGGCCCATTCAAATTTACGAGCTGGAAATGCCATTCGAAACCTCCGCTCGCTCTAGCCTCCTTCAAATACGCCACCCACCACGCCCACCTATGCTGAGCCCTGCTCTAAGGTAACAGCTCTATCTATCTATGTATCCATCTGCAATTTGGCTGGCTGCTTTCAAAATGCTTCATTAGATACGCAAATTCCCTTTATATAACTACCTTCCCCCCCAACCCACTATCTATTTGTCTCTCTCTCTCTCTCTCTCTCCCTCTCTCTGAGACGGTCTAAACAAAAGGGTTGTCCTTTCCTGCTGATGAAGAAGAAGACCAAATGTGAAGCAGTTGCAAATTTTAAAATAGAAAGCAGCTCAAGACTAACTCAAAAGATTTATTAATGAAAATTCAAGTTTAATTTGAAGAAAGAAAAGGCATGAAAAGAGGAGAAGGAGAGAAGAAAATGAAGCAGAAGAGAGCGTCCGTGAGAAGAATAAAGCGTTAGAAAGAGATCACATATGACAGAGAGAGAGAGAGAGAGATATGATATGATATATTATATGACGACACAGATGATAAAGGCAGATAAAAGATGACTTTCTATTATCTATATAGAATAAGATCTGGAAATTCGAATTCCATATGATGAACAAGTTCCTTCGGCTCCTCCATCGCATCGTGAACTATGTTCATTTTATGAACTAGTTCACCTGAGTTGCACAACAGATTCGCTTAGGTGAGTTTCGATTCAGTTATTCAGCCGAACTGAACCAAATAGAGCTGATTACTGAATCGCTCAAGATTCGCAGAGTATTATCTCGCATATCTATTGCCTCTATCTAGGGAACTACTGAAACTACCCAAGACTAAAAATAAAACTGTGATTCTTTGCTTATCATCGTACTCTATAAGTATATATATAGTAATTCCCATAAAACTTTGGACAGGGCTAAAAATCCTGTTGAATGATTTACGAACTGGAGATAAGAACTTTGTCTAGACTCGAGTTGCAATTGCTTCATTTACGCACTCTTCTCTAATCAGAGCGATTCGTGCCTCCCTCCCCTTCTTCACGAAACTCATATCCACTGCCACGCCTCACGCCGCCCTTTGTGGTTAAAACTTTGGCAATATTCTGGCCAAGCTTAAAGGAAATAAAGCAACCACCGACGTCGCAACAGTTGCTGCTTGCTCCGCCTCCGTGCGCCCTCCCCCTATCTCTCGGTCACCCCTCAAACTTGCTATATGCTTATATTAACATTAAGCCACGCCTCTGCCGCCCACCTTTTTACTTTTGTATGGATGAGAGCAGCCGTCGCCCAATATGTTCCAGCGCGAGGCGAAATAAATTCCATCTGAGGCTTTAATTGCATTAAACTGCGAATGCTAATGTGACATGCTGTTAATGGCTTTCTGTTAATGTTAATTAACATTTACGGATCATTTCGTCGGCTGTTAGCTGTGTAGTTAACGCGCTTAATGCGCTTATTAAGCGATTATCAGAATTGTCGGTATGGAAATAATTCATATAAATGGAATCCGATTGACTGCGACCAGAGGTCAACTTGGAAGGTCAAGCTTGGAGTAGTTCCGCGCCTTTATTGGATTCTGATTTGAGCATGAAGAGCAGATCTTAAGAGAATGTGTTCGATCTCCAGTTATTTTGTGGTTCTCTCTTACTCTATTCCTTCCCCTCTCTGCTTTTCTCTCTCTGGTCTCTTTCCATTGTAATTTCGACTCTTCTGTTTCTTGCTTAAGGATGATATTTTTGGTTAAGAACTTTGTTTTGCGTAGAACGCAACAAGGCACCTAAAACTTTGCATAAAGCACAGGAACTGATTCACTTTAGATAAACCTTTCGCAGTGCTCTCATCATATTCTGCTTCTTCCCGACTTTTCTTTTCATTCAGCCGAAAGTCATTTGGAAAAGTTGGAAACAAAAGTTGCAAAGGTTCCTTGGTTAGGGAGTTATTAAATTTGTTCCTCAAATATTTAAGTCCATTTAAGAGGCGACAGCTCGAAATGTTTTATTCAAGACAAAGAGTGGTTGGGGCAGAGGGAAGGAGAGAGTGCCGGGGCTGGGATTTCATTACATGTCTTGTGCTTATGCTTATCCTGTTGCCAGCAATTGTTTCTGTTCGCAACGTCTGCATAATACATAGAAGTAGAAGAAGCAGCCGAAAGGAGCTAAAGGAATACCCCTAACCACACTGAAAGCTGTTGTCCTTTCGCCAGCAATATTCTCGGCTACGCTCTGCCAATGCTGATGAGCTTATGCGTGAGACTAGAGAGAGAGAGAGAGAGAGAGCACTCTCTTAGAGCGTGTGAGGTGGAGAGGGACGGAGTCAATTGTTGGCATTCGCGAAATGTTTTTAGCTTCAGCTCTGGCTTTGGCTTTGGCTAACTCCTTGGCGGAACGTGATTAAGATTCGAAACACAAGCAGCGTGCGGCATGTGCGGCATCTAATTCATGCATAGCCATGGCTGGGCGAATATAATATAGCCCAGGCGAAGGCTGGGCACTGGGCTAGTGACCGACTAGTGAATACCTCGCAGTGTGAATAGCAGTAGATAAGGTTAACTAAATGTAGAATAGTAATCGAAATTAGAATCTTTGTTATCGATATTGCGTAAATGTGTCTGTGCTAGGAAATACACAAAAAAAATTAATATCCTTCATATGCGCTATTATTTAGTTTAAGCATCAGCAATCCTTCCTTCCCTAGATATACCCCAAAAGCCATTCATAGCTAAATCGATATTTATCGATATCAGCTAATCGAGTATATAGAGTTTGCCAATCAAATGTATTTCATGGCTAAATCGATATTTATCGATATCAGCTAATCGAGTACATAGAGTTTGCCAATGAAATGTATTTCATGCATCGGCTATCAGACTAATATAGCCCGCTTTACGCACTCTCCGTGGACTACAGGGTATAAAATGGAAAACGCATTTCCCCAGACAATAGGACAGCACATCATGCAGATGTCTATATATCTGTATCTGTATCTGTATCTGTGTCTAGTGAAAACTTTTGCTGTTGCTCGAGACAATAAAATTTTAGATGTGCTTTTTGCACTTCCTGTTGAACAATGCGAAAGTCGAAACAGTTTCCCTTGATGCTAGAGCCCCAGAGAGAATGTGTGAGAAAGAGAGAGAGAGGGGAGGGGAGAGGGAGTGCAGGGGGGAACGAGAACTTTTCTTCTGACTGCTTCGCTTGCTGATTGCAATTTGTGTTTCTTGCTCGTCTTCGTCTTTGCAGTCCTTTCGATTCGTAACACGCAAGAGGAGGAGCCACCAGATCCACAGTTGATGCGCCTGGACAACATGCTCATCGCCGAGGGCGTGGCTGGTCCCGAGAAGGGCGGCGGTGGAGCTGCTGCCGCCTCAGCAGCGGCTGCCAGCCAAGGCGGCTCCCTGTCCATCGATGGAGCGGACAATGCCATCGAGCACTCGGACTATCGAGCCAAGCTGGCACAAATTCGTCAGATCTATCACCAGGAGCTGGAGAAGTACGAACAGGCATGCAACGAGTTCACCACGCACGTCATGAATCTGCTGCGCGAACAGAGCCGCACCAGGTAAGAGAGAGCAAAGAGAGAGAGAGAGAGAGAGAGAGGGAGAGAATTAAGCTAAGCGTTATCGATAAACTTATCGAGTGTTCAATGGATGGAGAAGAGCTTGAGTAAGATTAAAGAATGCGAGTCGAGCTGATGCTAAAGTTCTCTATCAATTATAACAGAGAGATAGAGAGAGAGAGAGAGAGAGAAAGACGTATATAGATAACTAGACCTGCAATCAGTTTAACTTTATCGATAGCAATTGATCGATTAAGTAAAAGAGGGAGACGAGCAGAAGAGAAATCTATTCGATGCTTCACAGTTAAGTTAACAAGATATAGAGAGAGAGAGACAGATACATGATAAGTCACTTATCGATAGGAAATAATCGATCTTTGAACAGCAGAAACTCTATTAATATCTGCCTTGGCATTCCTTCTTCCGTCTCGCTCATCAGGCCCATCACACCCAAAGAAATCGAACGCATGGTCCAGATCATCCACAAGAAGTTCAGCTCAATCCAAATGCAGCTGAAGCAATCGACCTGCGAGGCGGTGATGATACTGCGATCGCGTTTCCTCGACGCCCGCCGCAAGCGACGCAACTTCAGCAAACAGGCATCGGAGATACTGAACGAGTATTTCTACAGTCACTTGAGCAATCCGTATCCATCCGAGGAGGCCAAGGAGGAGTTGGCGCGCAAGTGTGGCATAACAGTAAGTCGAATCGGGGCGCATCACTGCTGCCAATCGATCCGATCCGATATTAATCCCCGATATTTGTATATCTCGTGCAGGTCTCACAAGTATCGAATTGGTTTGGCAACAAGCGCATTCGCTATAAGAAGAACATTGGCAAGGCCCAAGAGGAGGCCAATCTGTATGCAGCCAAAAAGGCGGCCGGCGCCTCGCCCTATTCAATGGCTGGGCCACCGAGCGGCACAACAACGCCAATGATGTCGCCAGCACCGCCACAGGACTCGATGGGCTATCCGATGGGCGGCTCCGGTGGCTACGATCAGCAGCAGCCGTACGACAATAGCATGGGCGGCTACGATCCCAATCTGCATCAGGATCTAAGTCCTTGAGGATAGGCGGGCCAAAGCTAAACAACAACAAGAACAGCAAGCAAGAATAACTAACATCAAACAATTCATTAAACTCTTAAGTTTTTTTTTTCCTGTAATGGCAATGTGTGTGCGTGTGTGTGTATCATAGAATACAATCAAATATGTATACGATTATGTCTTAATTTAGAAAGAGAAGTAAAGCAAAGTTTCGGGCAATGCCTGAGATTTTGTCATCTAACAACAACAATACGCACAGGCACTGCATATGACTATGAATATATATCTATATTTAAATATATACATATATGTATTTAGGCGAGGTTAGTTCAATAGTTGTCATGATTCAGTCAAAAGCAAAAGCTCGGAGAAAATATGGATAAAAGTGATTATTTTGTAACTGAACTTAAATAAATATATATATATATATCCATATGTGCATACACACACACACACTCGCGTTGGAGCTATAAACGTATATATCTATATACATAAATTAAATCATTTGCGTTGCAATATCAAATTAATTAATAAAACGTAAACTTTTTTTAAATTTTCACAATTTTTTTTTTTTTTTATATAATTTTTTATGCGCTTAGCTTAAGTAAATTAGAAGAAGAAAAAACAAACTTAAAATTCAAAATTGCAAACCAGAAAAATTTTAATTTTTTTTAGCTTTTTTTGTAAACCTCAAATACGTAAAAAAAAAGCGAAAACTTTCGACTAGGCATTAGTTTACAAAATAGTTTATATATATATATTTTTTGTCGTAGGTTTTAAGCTGCAAACAAAACAATTTGTATACTAAAAAATACTAAAAAAGAACGCATGTATACTACAAGATACGAACTATATATATATATATACACACATCTATATATATCTATATATATATATATAAATAACACTATACAGCAAGAAGAAGAACAAATGTATACTAGAACGAAACTCCCATTTATCAAGCCTAACAAAAAAAATACTAAGAAAAATTACTTAATGAAAATACTAAAACATATAATTACAATTTGTATACCAGTTTACTGCTGTTATAACACTCGTATAACAGTTCAAAACACAAACAACAATTGTCAAAACACAAAGTATTACGAAAATCTTTAACAAAAAAAAAATACAAATTTTTTATTAAATATTTATGGCAAAATTTATAACAAACAAAAATCATGTATACGATGTAAATCAAATTTAGAACTCAACCATTTTTTTTTTAATTTTCATTTTGGTTTTATCAAAAACTTTTTGTTGTACGCAAAAAAAAAAATGAAAAGAAAAATTAACAAAAAAAAAAAAAATATTAATAAATAAATTACTTCCTCTTAGTATTTGCTGGAAAAAGTATTGTAAACAAACAAAATAAAAAATAAAAATAAAAAAAATTGTCAGCCAACTGTTAAAGCAAACAGTTCGATACGTATATATATATATTTCTATATATATGTATATGAAATAATACTATAATTATTTTAAAAAATAAATACAACAAATGAACAACAATGCTATATTAAAATTAAATAAACAAAAAAACAAAAACAAATTTGACTAAATTTTTAATGTATTTGATGGAGTAGATTGGGCAGAGTTCTCAAATCCCTCGAATTGGATGGATAATCAAGAATAGAGATACGCCCTCTGAGGTCTTCCACAAAACCAATATACCCGACGACGCCCACTTTCTAGGGGTCAATTTAACATATATAGATATAGATAGTCCGAGAATTAGTTTTAAAGATATTTGGTTTGATTTTTATTAAATTTGTTGTTTAACAATTAAGCTAGATGAATTGAATTTATCGACACAGAGATGCAATTTGAATACAAAAAAAAAAGAAGTAAGACACACAACTATATATATATATATACAAAAAGGTTTATGTAGGTTTAACTTTTATATACACATATACACACATATATGGATATATGTACATGTATTCTCTCTATCTCTCTCTGTCTCTCTCTCTGTCCTCTATACATATATATGGTACATGCATCAGAACATATGGTATCACATTGTACGATTCTTTGCAGCGAGTCGGGGAGCAGCATCTGTTTAAGGAGCCTTGCGCCTGCCCGGGCACATGCTCCAAATTGTGACTGGTTGATCGGAATTGGGTTGGGCACGGCTCTGGGTGTTGGGAGTGCCCTGGCGGGCCGCGTCTCATTCGGACTTGGCCTTGACGTCGTCGCTGGCATTGCAGTTGCGGCAGTCGGAGCTGGAGCTGTTGCTGCGAATGCTGCTTCTGTTGCTCTCTCGGCGATTCTCGCACAGGCCATTCGCTGGCAGGGCCTCCTCCTCGTTGAGGGCATCCGAGATGGCGCTGCTGATGTTGTTGCCACTGTGCTGCGATCCGCTCGGCACACAGGCACAGGCATCGCACACGCGCACATCCGTCTGCCAGCCGCGCTCCAGCACGGGCATGCGTCGCTTCGAGCAGTTGCTGCAAACCGCCTGGCCGCAGCGCCGGCAATGGTGACGTCTACAGTCACCAGGTCCATCTACTCCTGCTCCTGCAGCTCCAACTCTTGGTCCACTTCCTCCATTGCTGCTGCTGCTGCCGCTGCTTCTGGCATCTATTTTGCTGTTACTGCTGCCCCGTGGCTTGCCACGTTCGCTCGAGTTCTTGGCTAGCTCGAGCTCTTCGGCGCGTCCAAAAATGGATTTGCATATGAAACAATTGGGCGATTCCGCATCAGGCACCCAATAGGCAGGACGTGCGCTGTCCTTGATCATAGCTGCGGAATGAAAAATGACAGAGCACGATTAGCCAAGAGACTTCCTCTGCTTCACTTGACTTGCCTTTGGGATAGTCTATGGCCACGGCTGCAACGCTGCTGATAGTATTATAGATCGTCTCGCCATATTTCCGCACCAGAATGTCGCCCTCATCGTTCGTCGGACGAGAGCCTAAGGCGACAATTTGATTACAAATAGAAATTATGTGTTGGAGAAGGAGAAAGATAGAGATAGAAAGACAGAGACCAGAGACCAGAGAGTTAGAACTATAGCCTCTAACTATAGAGCAAGCGTACGAGAGAGAGAGAGGGATAACTCTCTATATGTCAGTAGAGAGAGCTTTATTAATACAAAGAGAAAGAGAGAGAGATAACCTCTCGCTAAAACTATATTGCTCTCCCTCTCCGCTCTCAGTCTCCCTCCGTCTTCTTTCCACAGCAATTCCTCTATCTCAATCTCTCTCTATCTCTTTCATTCTTTGGCTGATTTCTGCTTCGACTATTGATCGATCTGATGCAGTTGTCTCACCTGGCGTCGCGTCCGACTTGCGCTGCAGCTGTTGATAGCAATCGTTGCAGACGCGCACTGGCTGCAACCAGCCACGCGCCGGCACGGGCACTCTGTGCTGGCTGCACGTGTGGCAGAAACCCTCGCCACAGCCGCGACAATGATGTTTCGGCATGCCAGACTTCTCAAAGTTGCGCCTGCAGGCGTGGCACATCTGGCAGGAAGGGAAAATGAAGACATAAGTGAATGCTTCGACGTAGCAGATACCCTGTAGCCATTCGATAGTCACTTGGAAAGCGAACGATATTTATCGATATAGAGAAGTCATCGATTACTCTATATACTCTAGTTGCTTTCTTATGGCTACAGGGCAAAGGATTAAAACTATTGTCAGCGTACAATTATCTCCTGATTGGGCCGCCAATAGCTGGGCGCCACCTTGTCCGCCAGCATGCCGCTCAATGCCTTCGCCCAGGGCGCCGATATATTGGTAAATGCCTCGCTGATGCTGTTCACGCTGTCGAGCACCATTTGGGCGGAGTGCGCGTTGGCGCGCAGCGCCGCATTGCCACCTTTCCAGACATGCACGACCTGCACACTGCACGAGATTGAGGGAATCAGTTATCGATTGAGCTGGCTGCCGGAGAGGACTGTACTTACTGCACTACCGACGCCTCGGGTGACTTATTGCCGTACCAATATTGGCGCGCTCGATAGATCTCGCCGCAGTACGGGCACTCGATCACGTCGCCCTTCCACACGTATTTGGCCAGGCCCGACCAGGCGGTATCCGTCTGCGCCTGCGCTCGCACGCTGACCACGATCTCCTTGCCATTGTTGTAGCAGGCCTTGCACAGGTAGAGCTTGTTGCCGAACTGGTGCTGGTAGTTGCAGGGCTGCGTATTGAAGTGCGGCTCCCCATCGCTCACGTGCCCCATCGAGCGCTGGCAGCGGCGGCTGCACGACTCGCAGTGGGCACCGCAGGTGAAGTACTGTTCCGGAAATGGATTTATTGCTTTTTCGATAATTTCGCCAGCGAACTTCTGATTCAGGAGTTTCATTGCCTTGAATACGACGGCGGGCTGGCGTGGCGAACGCACCGACGTATTCTCTATCTCCAGATGCAGTGCATCGCTAATTTTCTGGAAATTCGTCGACTTATTTGCGTCCGTCTGGATGCCCACGTAGCGCAGCGAACTAAACGCGTTCGTCTCATAGTTCAGCAGCGCGAAGTTGTTGCGCAGCTTATCCTCGGCGCTCTCCTCGACGGCTGCGTGAATAGAGTGACAAAAGAGATCAGTACAAGAGATTCTTCAGAAATGGAACAGTCTAGTTAGATTCTTCATCTACCTGGTCTACCAAATTTAAGGATTCCTATCTAAGTTTTATCATACGGACTTGTATATACTTTATACGAAACTTCAATTATCTAGCTTATAAACATCGATATTTATCGATACATGCAATAGTACATACTGCTCTCCAGCGGCTTTGTGTAGTGAGTCTCATGGAATATGATCACAGCTGGTCCCAGAGTGCTGCCATTGCCCATGGCCTGCAGCGCCTGAGTGAAATGCAGGCAGAACGCCTTCGAGGCGGTGCCCAGAAACTCGTACATATCACTGTGCAAACGCTCCGAGCGTGTGCGATAAACCACAATATCCGAAATGGCTAAAATCTGTGGGAAAACCGGAGAGCAAGCAGCTCAAATGAAAAGTCCTTACTGAGTTATCGATTAATCGACACACACCTTGAGTAGCATTCGCATGCGTTTGTTGCTTTTGGCCGTGGTGCCCAACAATCCCTCCGTGTCTAGGCAAAGGACACCCTGCTCCCGTTGCATAGCCGCATAGACGCCAATCGTGCAGGAGCTTTGCTCTGGCGATGTGCGAAACACGGGCTCGCCGTTGAAAAATACCTGATTCATCGTATGCGATTTGCCATCTCCAGTGTTGCCAAATATTGAGATCACTTTGATTTTGTCCAGACTCTGACACTTCAACTTCTTGCAAAACAATTCCGGGG